TGTCACGAACATGCTGTCTATTTATGTCGACTCTAAGCACAAAAACTGGGACGAAGTGCTACCTTACATCACGTACGCGTACAATACCGCGAAGCATGAGACTACAGGTTACTCTCCATTTTACCTGCTGTACGCTCGCTCCCCACGATTTTGTCTCGACACTATACTACCTTTTACACTAGACGTGGAAACCTCGATAGCCGAGATGCTCTGCCGCGCAGAAGAAGCCCGTCGCATCGCACGCTTCCGAACCTTGGAATCCCAGCAGCGTTCTAAGAAACGTTACGACGCCTGCCATCACTTCGTATCTTATAGTAAGGGCGATCTTGTGTGGTTATGGACACCAGTCCGCAAACGTGGTTTGTGCCAGAAGTTCTTGGCCCACTATTCCGGTCCATTCATCATTCTTGACCGCCTCAGCGACGTCACGTACGTAATCTCGAGTGTCACAAGCAATGGTCGCCGCTCTAGCAAAACACAACTGACACACGTTGCGCGCCTTAAACCGTGCCACCATCAACCATCTGAGTGTCTCGCCCAGAGGGAATCGTCTGCGAACCGGGAAGTGAAACGCGCTAGGGAAGATTCGACGAAAAAGAGGAAGAGACTCGACTGGCTCGCGAGCGACGCTATTGATCCTTCGCTGAGCTGCACCTCTGCATTACCCATCTTGTAAATAAACGCGTTCCATCGTCACAATATCAATAGACCCCTTTCGAAAAAGGGCGCCCTTAGCGCCGCGGACGCGGACTACACTCTGCCGCCATTGTGAGGGCGCCGCAGCAGACGACGCAGGCTTCGGTACACTGTAGCTTTGGCAAGGTGCCAGTGCGTGACATATCAGCATTACCAAATCCTGAACTTCCATAAAAGCTTTTCGTAGATACGGCGTGCTGCAATGGTGCAGATGTGCTGCGTTCCCACGTGCCACCATCGAGGATATTGCGACGAGAACAGCGATAAGGTAAGCGATAAAACGAAGAAAAAACGCACGTGCTCTCTCTCTGTATGCGCTGTCAAACAAACACGTGGAAGGGCGCCGTTTTGCAGATTCGCTACAAAAACGGGCATGCTTATTTGACACCGTCATGCGTAGCCTTGCTTTTAAGAATGAATAGCTTCTCCAAAGCGCCTGCATGCCGTGAATTGCGCTGAAGTGTTTGTGCAGAAATACTGCGAGGATGCATACGGCCAGCCAGAAAAATAATGAAGTTGCGTATGGTTCAATTACCAGCGACAGTATTCGCATATTGCAAGTCACATGCCAACATCATTCAGTGCATACAGATATACCACATGCGTGGCATCCAGGATATAGTTGCGTCGGACGGCTTGCGCCAGACAGTAATTTCACTGATTGCAGCCTCACAGTTTCGCGACAATGATGTCCGTCCTTCTTTTCCTTTGCCCGCGTTGTCTACGCTCAGGGCCGTAACTAGGGGGAAGTTTAGAGGGCTCTGGCAACCACTGAAGTATGTTCTTGCTATAAGTTTTCGGCTAGCATAAAGTAATTACGTAACTTTAAATCCACCGCCAGTGACCATTGTAAACCATTCTACATACAAACATCCCAGAAAAAAATTCGTGGGTAGAGCCCTGTTTGCGCCTACACTCCAACTAGCGAGAACGTCTATTTTGTTGCATGACCAAGCTTCAGCGTAATTTTGTATATCCAATTTGAAGCTGTATGTTTTTTTACTAGCTGCATATCAATGGCGTTCATTGTGATTCCAATGATTAACGATATTCAAGCTTTTTCTTCACATGAGCTTGACACTTTTTTTAATCACAGGTCACGTTCGATAGGTTTCCTGTGAACCAGAAGCTGCGCAAGCAGTGGATGCATGCGATTCGTCGGGACCCAAGAAAACATTTCAATATAGTAACAACAACAAAAGTCTGCTCCAGGCACTTCACTGAAGCAGACTTCTTGCCAGCTGTGGCAAGTTGGAGACCACTGCTTTGAGACAATGCTGTGCCCTCTGTTTTCCTTTCAAAAAATACTTGGCATCTCGGCCTCCTCCAGCAAGGTATCTTGAACCTAGGAATGAAGACTGCGTCAGAGGAACTGCGTGTGACATCAGTGAGCCTCTAACGAATGAAGGCATGCTCGAAAGCGTATGTTCTCCAACGTACGCGTCGCACAATGATGATACTAACACATTTCAGGAGGCCAGTTGCTGCTCTTGTCAGCGGGAGCTTTTCGCAACTCAACAGCAACTCAAAGAAAAAGAAGTGCTAGTGAGACTACAAGAACAACTTGCAGAGACAAGCAGCAAGCTGGATAGAAAGACAGAAGAATAAATTAAATTGCCAAAGCAATGCACGGAACATCAGCACTGCCACGTCACGCTCTTGCCAGAAAGAATAAGCCTTGCACGTGCTAAAGAAGCCATAGTTTCTATAACACGGAGGTGCGAAGAACAAACTAAGGATCATGATAAATAAATCCAAGAAGTATCGAGCAAGCTCTCAAAAGCAAATGAAGCAAGGTAGATTTTCGGCATTGAGAAATTTCAGAACGGTGACAGCAGCATTCAATTCTATACCGGACTGCCAAACTACGGCCACTTCAAAGCATTAGTAAACGTAGTGAATTCAAGAAGCAGAAATGCAAGTTCATGTAAAGAGGGAACAAGGGGCTGTCAGTGCAAGCTTTCCCAAAAAGATTATATGTTCATGACACTCATCAAGCTCTGAGTTGGATGTTTCCACTTGCATTTGTCGCACATTTTTGATATCTCTCCTGGTACGGTATCAAGGATATTTTCTGCAAGAGTGTAGAAGCTCTACGAGGCTCTGACAGATGTGCCATGGTGGTCCACATGGGATATTGGGGACTCAACAATTCCTGAAGCATTTAGGCAGAAGTATACTGCCACATGTGTCATAATTTATGCCACAGAAGTGCGATGTGAAGCATTGTCACGAGGTCGTTAATTAGGCATAGGTTTAATGGGTTTAAGTTTCCTTGTTATTCAATATGGAACCTTTTCCAACTGAGAATCTGCAAAGACGTTCAAAGAACTCATTGGCTTTCAACCAAATCGGCTCATTAGCTTTGTATCGGTACTATGTACGGGCTGCATTTCGGACAGGGAACTCGTAATCAGAAGTAACCTCTTAAAACCAGCTTTTGACCAAGGGGACACAATCATGGCAGACAGAGGATTCAAGATTAAGGACTTGTTAAACAGCATTGGTGTTGGGCTCAATTTACCACCCTTTTTGACCAAGAGGCAGTTCAGTGAGGCAGAAATTGAAGAAACTGCCGACATTGCGTCCCTGCGCATTCATGTAGAGCGAGGAATACAAAGGATCAAAACATTTCACATTTTTGACCGGGTTATTTTCTTCTCTCTTGGCCCGCTTGCAAATCAAATGTGGGTAGTGTGTGCTCTGCTGAGCAACCTGCAGACTACAATACTAAAAGAGTATGAATAAACCAGTCAGGTGTCTTGTGGAAACATTTTTATTGAAAGGCTATCAACCTATGTGCTGAATTCTTTATTATCTATCATTGGCCTCCTCTTAATATGAAACAAAACACTTTAAAAGCTCTTCCGACACTAACATCGAAACCTCTAGATGACTGTGTTGTTGCAATGTTGGGTTACATGTGCTCTTGTGACCAATTATCAGTGGCAAACATTGCCCTAATGTCAAGGGCGAAGCAACTTAGGTTCGAGACTCGCCCTTGTGCGTTGCCCGTGCTCACGACGCAGCCTATGCAGGGCAAGCACCCTCTATATGACCACCGTAAGTTTCATAACAAAAGTCCACAACACTGCAAGAACACTGACAATTAAACATCCATCAATCAAAGCATATGACAGAACAGAAGGTTAACAGCAATAACACCTAATAATGACCTAAAATTTTACACCGTAAAGGCATTTAAGCACCAATCAATCAAAGTATATTAAAAAAGGACTAACACACTAAAACCAGTGAAAATTGTAGCAAAACAATATAAAACACCTAAAAGCAGAAACACTTCATACTAGTTGGTGTAGGCATTTATGGACCTTATCGCGATTACATTCATGAGGTCATGAATTATGGACCCTATAGCAATTACATTCATCGGAATTACTAATTCATGAATGCTGTCAGGGTTCCGATTATTGCCGAGTGGAAGTTGACAGCGGCTTTAAGCTAGTCTCGCTTGTGATGTGTACAAGGATATTTATTTCTGCTGGTGCTGCTTCAACTTCGCAGTAGATATTGAACCAGCCACACAATGGCATGCAAATAAATGCGCCAAATTTTTTGTATCAAAGCAGTCAGCCGATAAACATTCACATATTGTGAATGTCGTTTTACATGGCTGTGTAGATCCGGAACGAAAGTTCGCAACAACATTCCTTATGAATGTCAATCACTGCGAATGACTTTACACGTGCCGTGTGACACGGGTATAAGCGTGGCTGCTCACCTCAGTTTTCTGCAACTCGCGACATCACCATTAGTATGGCTTTGATAGAAGCCCCATGGGACGTTGCCCAAGAAAAAAAGAGTGTTGTAGACGTCGCAGAAGATACGTATACACAATGCCATGACTGCCAACCACCTAGGGCTATTTTTTTTTCACCCTTTTTCTACTATTGTCGGGCTGCCCTCTAGTTGGCTGTAGCTGCTTACGCCAGGAATTTTTTTATGAAACAGGGTTATCTCCTACTAAAAAACCCACATTTCATTCTATACTGCGCCGAGGGCCCCAATGTGAAAGGTGTTCTCTAAACGTCACCAAAAAGCTTAACGCACGTGCTCTTAGGTCCTTCTCTGCTGCAGGGTACTAGTTTTTTACAGTTTTAGGCGGGTGTTACAAAACTACGCTAAATTGGTCACAATTACGAACGCCAGCATTATTTAGCAATATGTTAAGGTATTTATAACCTAATGTCCGCATCATCATACTAAACGCTACAAATTACCGAAAAACCATAATCAAAACTTTTGCTATCAGGGGCCTTTTAAGAAAAATTCACCACAATAAGTTACCTCATACCCACATTTCTCAGAAAGTATGGCAAAGGTGTGTCAAAAGAAAACTTATCCAGCTTGGCTTTTATTTCATGCCAAACTTTCTTGTCAAACTGTACTCTTTGCACACAAATGTAGTTTTCATCATACATAACAAAGTCTGCCCACTGTAGTTTAGTGATGGCCATCTGGCCCATCACTTGAGCGAAGTATGGATGCGTTTGCTTCAGTGCGGGGTTGTTCCAGCTGTCAAATGATACACAAATGTCTTGGCATGAAAGAAGTTCTCCTTCGTCTGCATCTTTCAAGCTATAAAGACACTTAATTTCAACACAACCCCATGGTGGGTCTTCCACAGGATCATACACAATGGCATCTGGAGAAGCCCCAAGCCATGGCTGTTCTGGGTCGACAAACAGCCCTACGCTTTGAAGCTCTACGTCCCGTCCTGTGTGCCTGAAAACGTTCTGGTAACGCTGCAGAGCTCTTGCCTCGTTGGCAATGCCATACCTGGATTTTGAAGACAAAATAATGCAAACAGCATAGTTTAGAGAAAAAAACTTTATTAGTACATTCAAAGACGTACCTTATTCAAGGTTACTGAAGAGCAAGTGTCCTAAATGATGCAGCTTAATCGAATAAAGACTAACAGATATTTTCTATTATTTCTGTGGTGTAACTGTGCACGGTTTAACATGCAAGTGCACACAAGCATGAAACATTTTTGGTGACATAATCATCATCATAATACGTGACAATATAAGTAGCGAGCACAATGCATAGTTCAGGGAGCTATACACAATAAGCTGTATTGCAATCACTTTTTCTCAAAAGTTTCGTGCATAAAAAAGTGCTAAAAGTTGGTTCTAAATTCTCTACTTATGTTTACGTGCAATGTATTATCAAAATCGTACTGCTGAGAACACTAAGACAGTAACACTGTAGCATATTCAGACCACGAATATACAATAAAACTAAGTAGCTTAGAAGCGATTCAAATCAGTCTCGAATACCACAGTTCGCACATTCATAAACAAATAAAAACAAGGCACTGCTTACTATAATGCTGTAATTATACTGGCAAGACATGATGCCAGCATAGGATCTATTTCTGACAGTATGCTTGACTGCCATGCAAGATGGCTAGTTGTGACTCTGGCTCAACTTTCATTTCTCTTCCCCAAGTCCGTAAATATCTTTGATCACTGCTGATTCCACTGTTGCTAGCATCTAATTTTCTGACAAGGGTTGAACTATGCAAGTTATCTAATTAAGATTTACGATGTCAATTCTCAACATTCCTGTATTCATATACACTGGATCACATGTGGCACATACCCACAATTCCATGAGCTATGGTAAACGGTGTGTGAAATAATTCAGGGGAAGGGTTTGATGTACGTGACAAGCACCTCACTTTATGTCATAACCTGTTAATCATGTTGATCATATACTCATGTTCCTTTCTGTTAAATTTCTCTTCATAGATGTTACACACACTTCAGCGAGAGTGCCCAGATGTAGTCGGCTAGACAGATACAAATGGTCAAAGTGCCATAGCACAAAGTACGGCTTTATGAGCAAGCAAAGCATAGTACATAACATACATTATGTTGGATGAACTTGCCCAGAATTTGAATCATGCCCATATTGGCACTTTCTCTAGACCAAATGTGCATTGCACAGCATTTGCTTAGTTAGTCCAACGCTTGCATTAGGTCGCACTCAAATTTGATTATTTTACATTATCGTTCTTGTAACACAATAATTTTTAGGGTTCAATGTCCCGAAACGATGACCTGATTACGACATACACCATAGTGGACAGCTCCGAAAGTTTCGTTCACCTGGGTTTTCCGTAATTTGCCCCAAAACCTTAGCACTCCGACTTCAATCATTCTTAACCCTATCAAAAAATTCAGCCGCTGTGGCCTGGATGTGGGATTTGCTGTTTTAAAACAGACACACCACTATTTGCTGGGCATCCACCAGTTATGTAACTGGCTCTGCCAGTAACGTCTCTCAAGATCACAAAGACACCACAGTTTGCAGGGTATTCACTAGTTCTATAACTAGCTTTGACAGTAACTTCTCTCAAAATAAAGCAGCTAACTGGTTGCACCCTTAGGTCGCTTAAGGAAAGAAAAGATGCTTCATTTTAAAATTATAGTACACTTACTTATTTTATTAACATTGGATATTGAGATGAAAAAATGTACCCATTAGAGCGAAGCACACTTCTAAAAATGTTTCTTAAAACTTCACAGTTTAAAAAAGTATTTCTCGTATTCCTGGGGTGACCGGTCTACCGTAATACGAGCTTCTCGGGTACTCTCATTCACTCAACAAAAACAAGTGCACGGGAACTGAATACGGTGGATCACTTGCGCAAAAGCACACATGCTTGAAAATGTTCAATGGATGGGTCCCTTGACTATTTTCTTCAGAAAAACTTCTAGCACTATTATTATTCACAACTGATAAGCCATTGCAAGAATGACTGACCGGACAGCAGGTACCCTGGATAGGTCTTTCGCTGATGTCAGGTGGCCGAGCCCTTTATTGCTCCAATGACTGCGCATAAGCACACTGCCAAAGTTTGAGAATTTCAGCCAATATTTTCGCTCTTGACACCATGTTTGACTGGCTCGCTGCTGGTGGGAGTTCTTCTTTAGACACTGTGCTTGCAGAGGACTAAGCACAATTTTCAGAAACAATACATTCACAAATTTCTCAAAGAATAAGGCAACTCAAAGGGCATTCTCAATCACAAAATCAGACATCATGTGAAGCAATCATGAAAAGACACAAAGCTGTCACAGAGAGAGTAAATTGCTTATACGGAATCACAATAAACAGCAGGCAGCGACATTATTCTAGTGAATCTTTTTATGCTACATATTCCACTTCCACTCAACAACACAGACCCTTACACTGATTTCTTACACCTAAGCTTCATGCTTATTAGACAGTATTCTCACCTCATCGCACACCATTTGCTATGTTTTCACACACCTGGTCCATTGAGCCACCCCCGTTCATAAAAATTTAGAAACACTCGAAGGCTGTCACTTCACTTCTTTTAATTTCATATATTATCACGGGGTCGTGACGTGGCCGAAGACAGGAGACTTTGCGTTGGAACCCAATTATTTATTTGGGCGAACCTGTGCCCGGTAAACGGAAAGTCCGATTACAGTAGCAGTCTTGGACTGATAGCGGCGAACGAAACGTCGGCCATTGATACACTACTCACAAGCGGCGAAGTGCGTCGGCATTTATGTTGCCATCGAATCTTCTAGCGTTATCGCTGGTGGTGGCATAGGTTCCTGAATAATCTGTACAGTTCGCAGACTGGGCATGGTCTTATCGGAATGATCTACTAAACTCCGGAAGCTTCTCGAAAACTGCACCGCGTTTTGTGCTGAGAATCGGGTAGTGTTTTGGGGCGATAAGAAAACTTGAGAAATGGAACGTGGCCTTGACCTCCTCTGAACAAAAGCATCGTCCCGATGATTTAACTAAACACGAAGGTACAACAATAATGCAAGAAAGTACAATGAATGAATTACGATACAATAATATTGCAAAAAGACTGTTTCAGTTTGTTAACGTGCATGAAACGGCTTGAGGCGCGCGACATGGACCACTTCAGGTCGCGATCGGCGTCGTTGAGAGTTCGTGATGCCGTCGAGGACAACCTCGTGATCAAGTTGGCCGAGACGTCAAACCACCCTGCACTGTCCGAACTACCGTCGCAGAAGCTTTTCACTTAGTCCACGTCGGCGTATTGGCGTCCACACCCAAACACGTTCACCTGGCTGGTATTCCACGAAGCGTCGTCGAAGATTGTAACAACGGCTGTCGTTCGTCTGTTGATTCTTGATGCGGAGACGCGCGAGTTGTCGGGCTTCTTCGGCGCGTTGAAGGTGCTCACTCACATCGAGGATTTTCTTCGTCGGTGACGTTGGATAACATGGCATCGAGCGTCGTTGGCGGGCTCCTTCCGTAGATCAATTTGTATGGAGATATCTACGTCGTCTCCTGCACCGCCGTGTTGTATGCGAAGGTCACGTACGGAAGAATGGCGTCCCACGTCTTGTGTTCGACATCGACGTACAATGCCAGCATGTCGGCGATTGTCTTGTTAAGCCGCTCGGTGAGGCCGTTGGTCTGTGGGTGGTACGCTGTCGTCCGGCGGTGGTTTGTCTGGCTGTATGCCAAGATCGCTTGAGTAAAGTCGGCAGTAAATGCAGTTCCTCTGTCGGTGATAAGGACCTCCGGGGTGCCGTGACGTAGGACGATATTTTTGACGAAGAACTTGGCTACCTCGAATGCACTGCCTTTTGACAGGGCTTTTGTCTCGGCGTAGTGGGTGAGGTAGTCCGTAGCTACCACGATCCATTTGTTTCCGAAAGCCGACATCGGGAACGGCCCCAGTAGGTCCATACCAATCTGCTGGAAGGGTAGGTGAGGTGGTTCAATTGGCTGCAGAAGTCCCGCCGGCCTTGTCGCTGGTGTCTTGCGTCGTTGTCAGTCCCGGCATGTCCTCACATAACGAGTGACGTTGGTGGTAAGACGTGGCCAATAGTACCTTTCTTGTATCCTCGCGAGCGTGCGAGAAACACCGAGGTGCCCTGCTGTTGGATCGTTGTGCAGGGCCTGCAGTAGTTCTGGTCGCAGAGCTGAAGGTACCACAAGGAGGTACTTGGCTCGAAACGGTGAAAAGTTTTTGTTTTGGAGAAGACCGTTTCACAGGAAGAACGACGCAAGTGCACGCTTGAATACCTTCAGAACTTCGGCGGTCCTGCCTTCGAGGTATTCTATTAGGGCCTTAAGTTCCGGGTCGGCCCGCTGTCGTTCAGCGAAGTCGTCGGTAGTTATCGTTCCCAAGAAGCACTCATTCGGGTCGTCGGGTGGTGGTTGGTCGACAGGCGCACGAGAGAGACAGTCGGCGTCGGAGTGTTTCTTGCCGGACTTGTAAACGACGGTAATGTCATATTCTTGAAGTCTCAGGCCCCATTATGCGAGGCGACCTGAGAGGTCCTTCAAGGTGGCTAGCCAACACAAGGCGTGGTGGTCGCTCACAACTTTGAAGGGCCTGCCGTAGAGGTAGGGGCGAAATTTCGACGTAGCCCATATGATGGTGAGACACTCCTTTTCTGTTGTGGAATAATTGGCTTCTGCTTTGGATAGTGATCGGCTGGCGTAACTAATAACCCTTTCAAGTCCATCAGCCCTCTGCACAAGAACGGCGCCAAGACCTACGCTGCTTGCGTCAGCGTGTATTTCTGTCTCGGCAAATTCGTCGAATTGAGCAAGAAACGGAGGCGTCTGGAGGCGATGTTTAAGCTCCTGGAAAGCATGTTCTTTCGGCGTTTCGCACTAGAACTCCACATCGGCCTTGGTAAGGTTAGTGAGTGAATCGGCGATGCGGGTGAAGTTTTTTCACGAACCACCTATAATAGGCACACAGGCCCAGAAATCAGTGCACCGCCTTCTTGTCCGTGGGCGGCGGGAAGTCGGCGATGGCGGCTGTTTTCCGTGGATTGGGACGGACTCCGGAATTGGTAATCACGTGCCCCATAAACAAGAGCTCTTCGTACGCAAATCTGCACTTCTCTGGCTTCAGCGTGAGTCCGGACATCTTGATGGCTTGAAGTACAGCTTCAAGGCGCCGAAGATGCTCGTCGAAACTCCAGAAAAACACGACGACGTCGTCCAAGTACACAAGGTAAGTCTTTCACGTCAGTCCTGCCAGTACTGTGTCCATAACGCGTTGAAAAGTTGCAGGCGCTGAGCAAAGGCTGAAGGGCACCACCTTAAACTCGAAGAGGCCGTCCGTTGTGATCGCCGTCTTCTCTCAGTCTTTTTCGTCGACTTCGATTTCCCAATAGCCAGTCTTGAAGTCCATTGACGAAAAGTACTTGGCGTTATGGAGCCAATCAAGTGCGTCATCTATTCATGGGAGAGGATACTCGTGCTTTGTTGTGATTTTGTTCAGGTGGCGATAATCGACGCAGAAACGTAGAGTCCCATCCTTTTTCTTCACTAACACCACGGGGGACGCCCATGGACTCTTTGACGGCTGGATGATGTCATCCCGCAGCATTTCATCAACTTGCCTCTTCATGGCCTCAAGTTCTCGCGCCGAAACCCTGTACGGACTCTGACGGAGTGGTCTGGCATTTTCTTCGGTTATGATGCGATGTTTCGTGATTGGGTTCTGCCGAATTTTTGGTGACAATGAAAAGCAATCTTCGTGTTGCAGGAGCAGGGACTTGAGCTGTTCTTGCTTATGGTTCGGAAGTCTGGGATTGACGTCGAAAGCTTGTGGGAGGGGCTTGATTCTTCTGAGCAGGTTCCGCAGAATCGGCGAGGGCGAAAGCACTGGTGGCGTCCACAATTTCTTCGATGTATGCGACCGTTGTTCCTTTGTTCACATGTATGTACTCATTGCTGAAATTGGTGAGCATAACCGTTGCTTTGCCTCCCCACTCCTCTGCAATTCCTCTTGCGACGCAAATATTTCAGGTGACCAACAGATGCTGACTGCCTTCAACGATGCCTTCCAGGTCAGGTGATTTAGGAGCGCCGACTGAAATAATGACGCTGGAGCGAGGCGGAATGGTGACTTGTTCTTCCAGCACATTCAAGGCATGGTTTCTTGACGGCGTGCGTGGCGGTAGTGCTTCTTCCGTGGATAACGTTATCGACTTTGTTCTTAGGTTGATGACAGCCCCATGGAGGCATAATAAGTCCATACCAATGATGACATCTCTCGATGAGCAACGCTGTAGGACTACGAAGTCTGTAGGATAAATACGGCCGTTAATGGTGACTCTCGCTGTGCTGATTCCTGAAGGCGTTACGAGATTACCTCCGGCTGTGCGGATTTCAGGGCCTTCCCAAGCGATCATAACTTTCTTTAACTTCGCGGCGAACGACCCACTGATGATGGAATAGTCGGCTCCAGTATCGACGAGAGCGGTCACACTGTGGCCGTCGATAAGAACGTCGAGGTCACTAGTTCGCCGTCTTACATTAGAGTTAGGGCGTGGTATCGGGTCACGGATGCGTTGGCTTGTTCCGCTGCTTCCATGTTGCGTCGTCCGGCCACCTCCGGTAAGTGAGCTTTTGTCGTCAGGGCTTTGCCTGGTTGGCGTTGTGTTCGGAAAGCTCCGTCGCGGCGTCGTCGTCGTCGGAGGATCTTCGGTAGTTCACCGCATAGCAACCGCACCTCCATCGGTTGCTGCCCATAGTTTCCCGGATACGAGCTAGAAGACCGGCCCCGCGTTGGGCGAGAGTACTGCCGGGAGTGCGGTGACATGCGGCGGTTGGTCGACGGCGAACGGGAAGGACTTCGTGGTGTCTATTGAGTACCTGTCAGGTAGTCGGCGATGTAACGTGGCCGATCTCCTGGCTGCGGACGCGGTGCATTGACGGCGAAGCGACGCAGTCCCATCTGTCGGTTCTGGCAACGGCGGTATGTGTGCCCGGCCTCGCCGCAGTGGTAGCAGAGCGGGCGGTTGTCAGGTGCACGCCAAACGTCCGTTTTCCTCGGTGCACTGCGCTGGCCCGCTGGGGAACGGTAGGACGTCGGTGGTGGTGGTGGCGGCGGTGGCGTCTGGCGACGGAAGTGCGATGGGGCAGGCTTTTTGGCGTGGACGGGGAGGAGCATTGTGGCGCACTGCAGCAGCGTAGCTCATGGTTTCTGGCTCGGGCAGCGGTGTTTGGAGAATTCGAAGCGATTGCCGAACTTCTTCTCGCACAATGTCGGCGATAGAATCCACCTGAGGCTGCGCCGAAGGCAACAGTTTGCGCAGCTCTTCCCGCACGATCGCTCGGATCGTTTCACGCAGGTCTTCGGAGTCACTGGCTTGAGCAGCAGCGCATTCTGGAGTCAGGCGACGATTATACTGTCTGGTGCGCATGTCCAGGGTTTCTTCGATGGTGGTCGCCTCGGATACAAATTTTTGGACGGCGTTCGGTAGATTCCTCATTAGTCCCGCGAAGAGCTCCTGTTTGACTCCTCGCATGAAGAAACGAATTTCTTCTCCTCAGGCATGTCTGGGTCAGCGTGACGGAATAGGCGGGTCATCTCCTCCTTGAAAATCCAACCTTTTCATTTGGTGGCTGAACCCGGGTCTCTATTAGAGCAGCGGCCCTCTCTTTGCGAGTGACGCTCGCAAACGTTTGCAGAAATGCGCCACAGAAGACATACCACGTTCGGAGCATGGACTCCCAATCCACTAGCCAGGTCCTTGCGGAGTCTTCCAGGTAGAAGTACACACGACGGAGCTTTTTTTCGTTGTCCCAGTGGTTGAGGGCGGCCACACGGTCGTATGTTTCTAGCCAGATTTCCGGGTCTTCAAACGATGACCCATGGAACGTTGGTGGTTCCCTGGGTTGATGAATGACGATCACGGGCTGGGATGCTCCGGTTGTCTTTGTCGCTGCAGTCGATGTCATGGCCTTGGTCTTCCGCGCCTTGTCTTGTAGAAGGCCATACTCCGGTGGGAGACCTTGCTGTCGGCGGCTTGTTCGCTGCTCTTGGTTGGCGTTGGTGTATTCTCCGCGACGTGGGCTGGGTTAACGGCTTGACAGGGGCGTCCGGTACATGAACGAAGTAGCACCTCCACCAGATGTCACGGTGTCGTGACGTGGCCGAAGACAGGAGACTTTGCGATGGAATTTAACTGTATCTTTGGGCGAACCTGTGCCCGGTAAACGGAAAGTCCGATTACTGTAGCAGTCTTGGACTGATAGCGGCAAACGGAGCGTCGGCCGTCGATCAACTACTCACAAGCGGCGAAGTGCGTCGGCATTTATACTCTTGCCATCGAATGTTCTAGTGTTATCGCTGGCGGTGGCATAGGTTCCTGAATAATCTGTACAGTTCGCCGAGTGGGCATGATCTTACCGAAATGATCTACTAAAGTCCGGAAGCTTCTAGAAAACTGCACGCGCGTTTTGCTGAGAATTGTGTAGTGTTTTGTGGCGATAACAAAACTTGAGAAATGGAACGTGGCAATATGTTATGCTATTATGCGTACAGACAGCTGGCCAAAACATGTGATTAGGGGACAGATTCAAGTATATTTTTCTTGCTTCAATGGTAATTACTGGAACATGTTAAGCTGCAGCGCACATGTAGCGGCAGACTGCCATGCATGAGCCACTTTTACCCCCTTTGTTTACAACATGTTTCGAGTGTATACGCCGGACTTCTCAGATGCTGCAGATTGAAAATTTTCACTATAAATGTTTCACAGAATTTTTGACGTTAATATTTTCTGATTACCCACTTTGACCGGCAAGCCCCCTTTTGTGCTATAAAAAAGAGGTGCGGTCGGTGCCTTGCATACCTACCAAGGGAATAAAGTGTGCACCAAGACTAACAGTGTATTAAAAATTACATTAGGAGAGCCCACAAACGCTCTGGTAGCATCTGCAGTTTTTGTTGTGCTGCTTCCACAGTTAAAAGTGGTGACATACCTCCAAGATGTGACTTTCACCACCACTGATGCCACCTGGCATTGACCACTGGCTGCTTCCAGGGAATGGCTCCACGAGTTTCGGCACGCACGATGTTGAACTCTTGTCATGCTTGTTGACCTTCTCCGCCAGATAGCTGCAGAGAAGGACATTGAAGCCATGAGGCACGAGTGACTGCTGGTAAGCTAGTGGCGAGCCACAAAATACGGTACCACATCTGCAGCTGCACACTGCGGCACAATCTGCAGCAGCTAATATGGTTACAAGAGCGCTATCCGAGTTTGCATCTGAAAGGGCTTGGGCAAACTGGGCGAGATCCTTGCTCCAGACTTCTACGTTCCTCTCCTTGACTGCCCTGACACCAAGGTGGCTCAGCAATGGCAAATCATGGCCACCCTTACATACTCTTCCTCAGTCCACATTCTGAAGGCTGCTTCCTTTTACAGTGTCACCCCGTGGCCGTCTCCAGTACTGAGGTAGATCAGTGCACGACAAGTGAGCCGAAACCTCACAAAATCTTTTCCTTGGAGCAGTCGAAGTACGTCAAGCACTGCCGCATCATGACTGCAAAAATGCTTTCCAGCAGGGCACTCGCATTTTCCATCGAGCACACTACCATCGCCACTGATGGTGGCACAAACAAGATAGGGGGGCGGTGTTTTCTTTTTGCTGCTGTAGCAGCGTGCTGGTATCAAGTAGCTGTCGTTCCTGCATAGAGAAAAGAAAACGAAATTATTCTGGTCTCAATTATTTCTTTCTAAAGGCAGCTCTAAGTCGCTCTTGTCACCACCACATAGAATGCAGTTTCCTGCTCCAAGTTCACCACCTTCAACAAGAAGGTTTTCCTAATCCCCTGCTAACTTCCATTGCCGAGACCCTCCTAATGTCAATAACAGTGTCTGACAAGATACAAAGCAACAGCTAACTGAGCAAGCTTCATTCTATTAAGGCTGTTATACCCTACGTTCATGAAGTTTCCCATAGGCCAAAGAAGGTCGCTGGCAAAACAGCTCTAAGAGACAAGCTCACTGGGCTATATCACAAGGTCAAAAGCAAAGTACCTAAGAAAGAATCATGCACTGACAAACACGCCATGTGTCATAATTAGTGTGTTTCAGCGACTCTCTAAAAATAATATTTACTTGTGGGCTTGGTTACATTGACCAAACAGGGCAATGCATGATTGATCGGTTCAGAAAGCACGCTAACTGGAGCCTCTAAAAGGCTGCCTTCCCATTCACTTGGTGGACCATTGTAATAAGTCTTGTGGTCAGCCAATTCTTGGCAAGTGTTTTATCATGGGGCGATTTAAAAATCGGCGTGAGCACGAGATTACTGAAGCCTTCCTAAATCAGCAAGTTTGTGCTTCTTGTGTTAGCGTAACCTCAATTTTTCTTCACGGCTGTGAAGATAGTTTGTGGGATCCACTGATATGACCAGTTGATGATAAGGTATGCCATGTGGCTCATTCATGTGCGATTCAGCTTGTGTTGCGCGGTTATGCGTAGATTCTGTTTCCTATATATTACAGTTGGTTTGCAATAAGCTTTGGTTGTCTTTTGCGCTGTTAGGCACTTTTTTCGTCTACCACGCCTCCAAGAACTTAGCCAAAATGTGTTTGAATGTTTTCTATTGCAATACTGCACGTCGTTTGAATATCTGAGTAGTGAATACTTACTACACAAATGTATGTTTTGGGACCTTTCAAGCTGCTGAACATTACGAGAAAAATATCACAAATTTCGTAGAATCATCATTTTTGTCTATATTGAGACGCGATTTGCACCGTCGTGGGGTCCAATTAAAAATCATCTTCAAGGCTAAATCGAAAGAAAAACAAACAGTTATTTTCATAAGCGAAATGTTATCACTTTTTCAGTTTTACGGAAGGAAATAATTTTTGAAGTTTCCCAGTGATGGGAATAGAAAAATTTGAGGCGGCAGCTGTCGTAAGACCGACCAAATCGGAAGAAAGGCGCCATGGCGAAATTCGAAAATTATTATTTTCCTAGAAACAAATAAATTTAATGATGAGATTCGCTAATGAGAAGAACTGTTTATTTGCTTTCAATTAAGTATAAAGGCACTTTTAGTTAGACTACCACATTGTGCAAATCGCATCTCTATATGAACCTAAATCACAATTTTGTGTAATTTATGATTTTTTTATTGTGATGTTTAGCAGCTTGAGAGGTATCAAATGTTTCTTCTTTCAAAATATACCTTGTTTGGAGTAAGTGTTCACTACTCAGATATTCATACAAAGTGCAGTATTGCAATAGATAAATTGCAAACATAAAGCATTTTGGATAAATTCCTAGAGGCATATCTGCCATTGATTTTGCACTAATATTACTCAGCTTCACACACCTTACACAAGAACTTTTACAACACATCCGTTTATTCTATGAGTAAACAGGCTGATATAAACCCAGTTTTCATCAACGAATGTGCAACGTACTCGAGCCGTCACTTACCTAATCACGCAGTAGGACATATGATCGCTAGATATTGTGCTTCCGACTCATAGAGGATTAGTGAAGTTTTGCTAAAGCAATTGATACCCCGTTTCTTTTGAAAAAGGCCTCCGAAATTTATCTTGGCGTGAATACACATGAAGTGACATGCACGCTTGAATAGGCACCGTCGTTATTCTTCACCGTAAGAGCATTTTCCTTCGCTCGATCATTCACGCAGCGATCCATCGTCTGGCTAACATGTCCCTTTACGCATGATATGGGTATTTTGCAAACTACTTGAGTATCACACTTCGTAAACGGCGACGCATACTTCTTTTTGCAGACTCTGAGCTGCTGACCGTGATTTCTAATGATGCACTGGCGCAACTTTGCTAGTTAGGGGCGGCGAACTCCAGCAGTACTTCATGCCGACTCACCACCTTTTTAAGGTTGTGTGTAACCTTATGAATACATGGTACAAACTGCTTCTAGTGAGCACCCGTCCTATACATGTGTTTTTTTCGTTTGTGTGGTTAGTGGTTTTGTCGCGAAATCTACTATTTAATTCAGGCATTTATAAGTATTTACAGCACATGTTTAATGTCCGTATCATAATATTGCATGCTATTTTCGTATTCATATTTGCTTGTTCAACAGTACAACAGCTGCGCCAATTGGTTCAATTGGATACAATTTCTTATTTTTGCACAAAACCGTTATAAAATGTCCCACCAGCGTAAGTATTTACTCAGTATTGTTAAATTTATCAACAAATATAGAATTCAGTAATCACCGTAACTTTTTGCATCACCATCCAATTGATTGATGTGTGCAGTTTAACATCCTAAAACCACCATTTGATTATGAGACGCCTTAGTGGGGGGCTCCGGAAATTTCGAGCACCTGGAGTTCTTGTGCACCCAAATCTGAGCAAACAGACCAACAGCACTTTCACCTCCATCAAAAATGCAGCCGAGTAGGTTAGCCACAAGACCACTGCGGCGGGGCCATCATCATTTATTCTAACAAAAATGCGCGAACAGTAATCATAACTTTTAATTGACCATAGGCTAACCTCACGGCAAAAGAAAAGCCAAAAGTAGAGCAGCTTAGACAAAGTTTCGCACCCCTTTCTCACAGATGCATAACACTTTTTTGTCGCTTTTGCCATAGTACACTCTTGCTCTGCGGAGAAGTGCTTTATGATTTGGAAGTGGCTACTAGTACTCGCTGTCACAGGACAAGAAGTACTTTTGCCCTTTATTACTCACGCATGCAGATGCCATACAATAACGAGTACTAGTATGAGTGCTGCCTGTCTTGCAGAGTAATTTATGAGGTTTTTGCGGCCTTAGGAAACGATGAATAAAATCTTACGCCACTTTTTTTTTCTTTTCACCACCAGCTTGAACTACTTCTTTACGAATCTCTCGAATTTCTAGGTCGCCTGTCAAACAGTTTGACAAGCTCGGCAAATACTATTGTGAGTTTTAGCATTGTTTGCACTCTGCGGCAGTTCAAGAGACCGCTTATTGAAATAGCTGCGTTTTCGTGTATTTTGAATGAATTAGCAAATGGTAAATATTTTCTACATGTACTTTTTCTTTTGTGTGATTCAGTCTCATTTGTTGTACTACTGTAAAATTTGAAGCCCTGCCGCGGGGGTCTAGTGGCTAAAGTACTCGGCTGCTGACCCGCAGGTCGCAGGATTGAATCCGAGCTGCGGCGGCTGCATTTCCGATGAATGCAGAAATGTGATTGGCCCATGTTCTCAGATTTGGGTGCATGTTAAAAAACCCCAGGTGGTCAAAATTTCCGGAGCCCTACACTACGGCATTTTCACAACCATATGCTTATTTAGTGTCGTTAAACTCCATATATAAATCAATACTGTAAATTTAGAATTTCAGGCTAGAAAATGTTGCGTTTGTTTTTTCTGAAACCTGCTCAAAATTTAATTTTTTTGCCTGGAAAAAGAAGATATGATGCTCCAAATTATTTCTCCAGATCTTATCTTTGCTGTTCCACCTCTGGTAGCTGTAAGTGATTATTTTTTCACCCCAATTTGTGTGCCCATTTTATGGTCTTTGATGTTGCATTGTTTTAGGGCAACATGCTATTACGTGATGCGTTTAATACTTTACACCTTTACATAAACTGTTCTGCATGATTAGTATGTAGGGTCACTGTTAATTCATAGTAATTGTAATTTGTAATTCATTCAATGTAAATTTGCCTATCGTTTTCACTCCTGTATTATTGTTTCTCCAGTATTCTGAATTTCTGAACACATAAGGGTTTTTGTGAAATGAAAATGTCATTTTAAAATTGTTTTGTCATTATATTTTGTAAAATACCACTAGCCTTGAATATTATGCATAAGGCATGCCACAACACAAGCAAAACTGTGGCAATTGCAGTGTGCTTCGATATATTGTTTAAGTATAATGAATAAATAAGGCATGCTGCATTGCACTCTTCCTGCCGTTTGTATGCTTCACTGCAGCGTACTTCTGTGCTGCATTGAAGCATGGTAAAATTAGTTCTTCATGTTTAAGTGCAAATAAAGGCTCTTGTGTGGTACTTTGATATGCATGCCTTGGTCGTTAGAGCTCCATGCCTTACTATTGACGTCTGATTTCCGGTCTTCTTTTGTAGAAAATGGAATTCTGCTCTGCACACTTGAAAAAGGTTTTTGATTAAGCTACAATTTGTCTCTGAAGCATGTATGTACTCTGTGTCTAACAAAATGAAGCTTGATTTCACTTTGCACTTTAGGATGACTTTGTGAATGTTGTGTTATCTGTGACAGCTCATTTTTAGTGATGCCTTCGCATTCATCTAGGATTACATGTTATATGCGAGGGCCTTATATGCCGTGCTTTATACATGCACCATAAAAGCAGTGCTAGGGCCAGAATTTTCACACTATGGCAGGAGCCACTACAGTAGGACATCTGCACCTGAAAGGTATAGCTAAAGGGTAAGCTTTAAAGTGCTTCCATGGGGGCCTACTGGAAGGGGTAACACTGGAATTATGGTATTTTTTCGCATGAGTGCTGAGGCGTAATTCGGTATAAGCACCCCCACACCCTTCAAGCTATTTGGTTGAAAACACCCCTACACTACTTGTGTTGTTTAAAGGTGTTAGGGTGTAATA